ATCACCATCATCACGCGGTAAAGTGTGTTTGAGAATTCACCTAGAGTAACCAGTTATTAGAATGAGTGATAGCATTCTTCCCCTACTTTTTGGATTCACCGTTATTAAACACAAAGTGAATTTGCGTCCAATCTTCTCGTGACAACCGATGGTTACGGTGACACAACTGATTTTGTGTAACCTTCACCGTGGTCTTAATTGTGGTAACACTACTGGCGCATATTTGTATTCATAGTAACATACATAGCTATTCCGCACTGCAAATACCCGACCTGGGAGTAGTACCGAGTCAAGAAGTGAACGAGAAAGAAATATGTGGTACAAATGAACCTCAGGTGAAGAATCTAGTGAAGTTTGGACGAGACCAGCAAGTGAGTATAGTGATTTGGACGTATGTGCTGGTTGGTAGGACAACAAATTGGTTGGTCGTTGGGCCACAATCAAGTGTCAATAATGGATCGGCTTTTGCTGGAAAGCATGTCTATGCACTTTCTACCGACACTTAATTTTGAATGATGGACACAAGCATTCTCGGCTTTTTTTCGGCAGTAACACAAGATGGAAGGTCTGTGGATGTCTTCCTGCTAAGTTCAACTTCATCGTTGCTTTCGTTGTACACACTTTTTGACGGGTGGCTGTTGATAGATCATCATCACTGTCAGCTGTAATAACCTCGTACTCGTCGTACAGTGATTGCAGTTGCCGCAGTTCCGCTCACCACTGATTTTTTGGGGGGAGGGTAGTAGGTAGCTGCGCATTGCAGGCGGGAGCTGATAAATTGGTGCATAAATCCAGCTTTGTTAATGGGCTTTCAAGTGGACGGGGGCTGGAAAATGAGCTATGCATTGGATGCATAGCTTGGACGCTTGGATCCACAAGCGCCATTGAGGGCGCGAGCCCATCGAGGAAGTCATTCGACTGGCATACGCAGCACGTGGCCAAGCCAGCGCAACCTATGCAGCGTGGTCAGTTCATCTACCGACCGACGTGAACGGTCTTCGTCAACCTGCTTCAACCGTGCCATAGGATTCCCGCTGTACTTTTAAGCTAGGTCAGTTAAGGATTACCGAAAAAACGGAAGTACTTTGCCTCAGTTGATCGTTCCAATCCAGTTCGACCAATACAAACACTGTTTGCTGGAAAGTGTTCTGTCTCCAGAACTATACGCTTTAAGCTCACTGTGGAACACTGCAGGAATGAATTAGCCACTCCTTTGATCGTAGCAGTGGGGTTAACCACCTCTCATGTAGTAGATATCATCGTTGTACGGCTGGATGGCACACTTGATCATCCCAGATGACTTCATTGCGCAACCAAGTGCAGTAAGGTGGCCCTGTGAAAACGTTCACAGTAACCAGGATTAGAGCGATGAAATCGAAATAAGCACACGTTGACGTCTCAAAAGATCCTAACTCAAAAGTACACTTAACGCAAGCTGGCAAAGTTGCGAATCAGACGGATACAACTGTAATTCACAGTTGAACGTGCGACTAACTTTTATTGCAAACGGAACTTTAGTGATTCAACTTACAAGTGCTTCACATCCCCCACCCACTTCTAACAAATAAGTTCTGTACCTTCCTGTGTTGTCTTGCACGTTTGAGATCTAAAAAATTTGACTGGTCCATAATAGAACGTGGACTAGTACTTTATTTTATTTCATATTGCTCAAATGAGTAATGACTCCATCAGAAAATATTTTATATAAGGCAGAAGTACAAATAAAAACGCTGTGCCACGTGGATTTGAACACTTGGAAAATGTACAGAAGAGTTTTTTCCAACCAAACGGGAAAAGAGGGCCTTGGTGCAGTGAATGGAAATGTGCGAAGCAACAGGTAGCCCAGAGGAAAAATGCAGCCAGTTTTGAGTACACTACTACACGTGGTGGATATGGGTCAGCTGTTGTTGTACGGGACTAACGCAGGAGCGTGTTGGCGAGCATGTTGGCGACGCGGACACATCAACGTCATGAAGAGTAGCAGAGATGAGTAATGAGCTGCGTCCATAGTTGAGAGCACCCGGTTGCGAAACGGCCATGAATTAGGATAGTCACAACTGCAAAATATGCAGAAGAAAGGGCCTGGTTCAAGGGTAATGAGTACACCTAAAAAACCGAGGAAGCTTTTCCAGTAAGGAGTAAATAGGATGGGATTTAACTGCATGAAGAGATGACATCAAGTATACTCAACACAGACAGACGGAGATCACACACATTTCAATAAAACAATCTACGTTTGACCTAACCTTAAAATCCACTTCTAAGTAACTGAGAATCAGCGAAAAAGCTATGTACCAAGCTGGTAGATGATTTGATACAAAAAAGCTAACTCCAATGTCGAAGTTTTCGAAGTATAGGATGGTTCTCAATTTCCGAACCTTCACTCTTCCCAAAAGTCGCGGCGGTATCATGCCAAGGCCATTGGTAAGCAAAGCCCTGCATGAATTCTAGAAACCAAGTGGCTTGTTGAGTCTTGTTCATTCAAGTTGTGTTAAATTTGCTGATTGCTGCTTAGTCCCGCTGTTGTGTCTGGTCGGATTTCCAGGGCCATTTAAGCCGCAGTGAGGAGGTCGGATTGGAGGGCAAGACAGCTAGCTGATACGATGATGATATCGATGATACTCAGTTCGTCCGTTCGTTCGAATGAGACTAGATTCGGTATCATGAGAGGCCACTGGCCTTGGAAAAGCAGGGAAGCTTAAGGCACAAGCGACCTTGCCAGATCACTGGAAATGGTGAATGTTTCAAGCATACTAGTGTCTTAATACACTGAGAAAAATTAAGGTACTGATTATGTCAACAGTCCATCCTGTAGAAAGTACTCACTTTACGGTGGACCCCCCTGAAATCGGGAACATGAGGAACTTGTCTGTCTGTCCCAGGAAGACTCACTACGTAGTTCTCTTAATTTATGCGAATAAAACTTCTGTTCAAGACAGAGAGATGGTCAAAACAAGTTTGGACAATGTACAAATCACAGCTTTCTAAACTATCAGACTCCTATGTTGACACGTGATCAGCCGGTTGGTGTGCGAGGACTGCGGCCGCTGAAGTCATTCAGATCACACCACATTTAGAAACTTCTGGTCGCTAGCCTCTTTCCTTGACAATACTTCCGGCACGGAATCATCCCACATTGGCGAGCCCTGCTGTCCTGGTGATTTTCGAACTATCAAGCCAGAATGATACACTGAAATCATCGGTCCCAGGGGTCAAAACCTCGTCGTATGAACACTGGGAGAGGCGGGTACAGCAAGACCGTTTTACGCCATTGGTTCAAGCATACGGACAATGCGGTTGGAATACTTTATAAAAGTATCTAGGGCAACCATACTTGTAGCTATATGAATATTTCACAGTCTACCATGCTATCGTGCAATTTGCAGATTTATACCACAGCAAGACATGACCGGTAGTCTAGCTTGGGGTCCGAATTTAGTTGATGGGAAGACAGATATGCGAAGTCTGCATATTTGCAGGCATCTCTTGCCTCCCACCACTCGGACAATGAAACTTTGTCCACAGCCTTTCATGAGGGGCTTGTTCATGAGAGTGGATTGTCGTCTGGTGGAGGTTTTGTCCTCTGTTAAATGACTGTCCTTCTGATTAGCCGCGAGTAATATTCTTCAGTATTTCATTAATCCACTGAGCTTGTTTATCGGTTTCGATTGGTTGTTTGGGTCTCTGACTCAGCCGGTGCTCTCCACGTCTAGTTTTTCAACAGCTAGGAATTCCTGACCCTCTGTGGCTCGAGCGAAATCGAACAAACTAGTGAGTAGTGTAAAATATTCAAAGGTCGGATGAGATGTCTGTCTTAACTGAAAAACGTTCATCTGATGTTCCAGTATTTTGCTGCTGTACTCTGCTTCCAATTGCCATCTTGGTCAGACGGACAATTCAGATTATGTGATGTGAGTATGTGGACTGGAGGAGTTAGAGTACGTTCGACCAAAGATAACGAATTAAGTTCAGATGCTTTGGGAAACTTACCCTAGAAGTGCTGAAGTAAGGAAGGTGTTGATATGTGTATGCGTTTGTCAAACCATCGCCGCTGATCAATTAAAATCGTCAGACTACATTTGACAGGGAATAGGTGTGCCCAGAGAATGATTCATACGAAGTGGCGTGAGAAGGGGATTGTATGGTAACTACCGTTTGGCCTTGTTCATTCACATGTCTGGTATCATTATCATCTAAAATATTTGACCCAGGAGGTGTGTTGAATGAACTGTTGTGATTTGTACGACTCAGTGTATTCACAGAGTGGTGAATTGCACTACGGCCCGACAAGTAGTGCACACATTCACACATGGGGGTCCAACTTGTATGACCAGTGCAATTGAGTATCGAAGGACTGATGAACGCTTGGAACGGTTGATCATTTGTAATTGTATGGCGTTGAGAAGCTTCACCGAAGGAGTTCATGTGAGGCGCAGCAGTCTCTCGATCTTGCCTGTCGGTTGAATAGGTATACAGAGAAGTCGTTGGATTTTCGCTCATACTGGGATGTGGTGGGATTGACACAGACTGGGCTAAAATGTAATCATGGATTGAAGGCAAACAAAATGTGAATGTTTTGTGTCATAGTTTAGTCCGAGGAAGTAAAATGGAACAGTTGTTGTAAGGGAAGGAGACGCAGAATTCGTTCTCAAGACCAAGTGCTAGGAATTTTGAAACAAGTAAGTCTCGGAAAATAGATTTATCCATAGCATGAACAAGCATATGGGAAACGAATTCTTATGGCACAAATAAAAATCCAAGTTGTTATGAGTCTTGGAGATGCCTTTGAGGGAAGAGTAATCTATCCTAAATTCATTATTGTGACTCAAGGATGCACTCATTGAGACGCGAATGGTACGTGAGTGCCTTGAGAATAACTTCTTTCGCTCCATAATTTCCAATCAGTACTGTAATCCTAAGAGTGATAATAGATGCCAGCTTTACGTTAGTCCAGTGGTGTCACGTGACTTCTTTCCAAGGAGAACTGAACAATCTTCATTCCATATGTAAGAGACAAGGACATTTTGTTCCCTCACGTGCAGTTATCGTCTGAACATTCAGCTTACCAGGCACACAACTGGGCGTTTGTCGAGTGCCGGAGCTCATAATATTTGGGTTTTTTTGTAGCACTTGCCAGAAGGAGTAAACTGTACAAGAAAAACACGGAAGCTGATCTGCTAAACCCGCCAGAATTCTGGGTCACTCGTAGTTGCAGAGATAGAACTGAAGTGCTACTGGGGACACCCAAGTTTATCATGTAGAGCTTTGGAGGGGTTAAACTCTTGGTCGTTGTGCTGCTTTGCTCGTGTGATGCGCGTCACATAAAACTTGTTCATAATCGGGGCTTCCGTCCGGGTCGGTCTTGTTTCTCATACTCTTTCTTTATCCGGTGACCAGTAGGTTGGAAATTCAGCAGAAAACCGGTCGGCCCAGCATCAGATCAGCATATACAGCAATCAAGATCGCACCTGCCACGAACGAGTCATCAGCGTGATGTGACCAGCAGATTGGAGAATATAGTGAAACACAGCACTGAAAACCTACACCTGACGGAGGAGCGGTTTTCGATTTTCTGCGAGGCTGTGACCGAAAATGCGGAAATCGCATTCTTTTATGTCTGGAATCATTAACTCCTCATTGTTGTGAGAAAACTTGTTATCCTTAGTTATGAATGAAATTTCAGAATTCACTTCCCTCATTCTATCCATGGGATTCCACCAGAGCAAGAGTCTCATGACTGGGTTGCCAGTTCACCATCCTAACTTGCGCTTCCAGTCTCTGATAGTACTTGTGCCAACTTCCGTTCACGATGCTCCTTGACCTGTATTACTATGTCATAAAGGTCTGGTAGGTAAGCCATTCCCAATTAAACGTATGCTCAACCAGTTTCTTATCTTCCCTTAATGAAGGGAACCAGTGTGTGCCATCCGCTTACTTCTAGATTTGCACTGAGCTGAATACGATAATTTTGGCGAATTTTCCTGAGCATCGATTAGCACCAACCAGTGAATCGAGTTAGCGGCAGAACCAAAGACAACACCCACAGACTGACCGGAAGTAAGTGAAATCACGGCCCAAAATTCAGTGTGTGATCGATCAATCTTTGTTTGAGTTTGTTATCTATAACCTGCATAGACCAGAAGGAATTCGTTTTTCATAGAGACCTATGAAACCTGAGGGTAGGTTGCAAAATCTGTGAACGTAGGTGTACAACAGGCATGACGTCACAGCCGCAAGAAAGGAGTAGTCAGGTTCGCTCAAATTACCTTATCAACAACGTTAGATACGAGACAAACAGATTCAAGGTCTTCCACTCGCCTGTTGTGTAATCGTTGTGAGGTGAAGTCTGCTCTCGTTTGAAGCATTACATCCACAGTTAACTGGTTGGAAACTACTGGAAACTACCAACCTATTCGATTGTGTTCCGTTGATTATATGAAGTCACCGGGTGATGCTCATGGTCAGAAACTATTCGATTAGAGTTAGTAACTTTTACTCGTCAGTATCGGTGTACTAGCGGTGGAATACATAAACGATTACCTGTCACCCAGTAAGGGGCCTGTGATTAAGTGTAACGTGATTCATTCCTAGTGCGATCAAGATGTCCAACAAAGCGGAGCATTCTCACAGCTCGACAAGGTTCGCCACAAGGATCTTGCCTGAGCTAAGTCACGTTAATATATGGACATTTCCTCGAATCAACTGAGGTTGCCAGAGAAACACAGCATGATTTGAATATTAGATGGGTCACTGTAAGGAAAAGACCCCTCAACATACTTTTCGATTTGAGGCATTCAGAGATTCCCCCTTGTTCATAAACCAGACACTTGGCTTCGAGAGCTCAGTGCATAAAAGACCTACGATCCGTAACTCCAAAAGTGAGAGACTTCATAGTGGCTGTACACTATTCATTTTATACCTGCCACAGTATAGCATGCAAATTTCCCAGGAAGATACCGGAAAAATTAACTAGTATTTAAGATAATCTGGCTAATTTACACTCACTGTGAATCGAATCGGTCAGCAGAATTGCTGAATCATTTCCAAATGTTTTCTCCCCCGGACTCTGCTTGTTTGCCGGTAAAGGAAGATCGGGAGGCCTCAACCGATTCCCCGTTTGTGAATGTCGCACACTGCATGTGGTCAGGTCCCACCTTTGGGGTGTATGTGTTACGGTGGAGGAAGAGGGCTTTCCAGAGTCTGTATCCTTGTTTGACGAGCCATACTCGGTACCATTCTCCTCACATACTGCCTGTGCGTGATGTAGACAGTAGAAAGTGGACGGCGCAGGAGATGTACTCTGTGAACAAGGTGGGGTCACGGAGGAGAATCTGTGAAAAATTTTCAATGGAACCTTCGTCGATGAGATTTGTCAATCTAAACGGGCCACCTAGAAATTTGTGTAAAACCTTGTTTCGTGAGAGATCACATATAGGAAACATCCTGAGCGCGATTTTCGAATAAAGGTTGACCGAACCGTCACGAGGACTTGAAATCAGCTCAGATTTTAGTAACAACGATGTAGTCCACAGTCCTCATGACAATACAGCGGGTGGGGGTGTCGAGAGTTAGGTTAGGTTAGTCAGGTTCCTCCCGTTTGGACAACTTGCCGAGTAGGTAAGCAGATGCTTAAAGTGAAAGCAGAAACGAATGTTCAGATTCCAATATCCTATCTCTATACAGTACGATCTCTCTTGATAAAGTGTGTGCCTGTTCATTACGCGAGCCTACTTTATTACTGATGCGACATCAGGACATATTTTAATCAACGATTACGTGTGCGGATAACAAAGTGAGAAAAAATGAAATGATCAGACTATGAAAAGCAGAAACGGGGTTATATACGCTTGAAACTGACTTGCTGAGTTGGTCTGTTCCGGCTAGTTGTGGACCATTCTGGTTGTGGACAAACGGAACAAAAGTCACATGTCCGGGTAGTCTCATCAGCTTCCGCTATACCAGCAGACCCAAACGAAGGTACAAGTTGGGAGCATGCTGGACAGGATCTGGAGGTTACCACCTTAGGTGTATATGTCGATGACTCACACAGATTGACAAGCGAACCAGAGAGTAAATCGCGTCGTTTACTATGAGACGCCAATATACCCTGATGTGAAGTGCTTTTTTTCTGGTTTGGTGAACAGCACAGGAGATGTGACTCGCCGGTCCGTCCTGCGAAGCACATATCCATGAAGAATAGAGCCAAAAAGGCGAGAACCAGACCTGAGATGATGATATCAAACAGTTCGGCTGAAAGTAAGGACAAGAAGAGTGAGTTGGCAGCTGCCCGAGTTGCGCAAATCACTTGGTGGAAAACATGCTCCTTCATAGCGACTATCCAAAAAGCATGCGTGAAGGGATCTAATCAGAGAGATCGGGAAGTGACAACTTTGTAGTTACCAGATTCTGTGCAAGCATCGATGAAGCAAATCGAAATTTCTCCAGTAGCCAAGTGATTACCTGATTGTTTCACCAGCAGACCCGGAGTGAAACCTTACAATTATGGCACCTATGAGGTAGAACCTTAAATCCGTAAGCGTGGGGTGTGTTTGTACAAGATTTAATGACAGTACTCTTTTTTAAGACGGACCCATAATGAGATAGACTTTTCTTCCTGAGGCAGGGCGATCCTAATCGCGACCAACTAAGTGGCCTCCGCAAGTGACTGGGCTGTATTCGGTAAGGTCTCTGCTGGTGGGTTGAGACAGATTAAAGCATCGAAACCTGTTAAAAGTGAACGTCAACTCCATTATGGTGGATGAAGAGATTTTGATTTGATCGTCACAAGCTACTTTCTTCGTTTTTGGTTCTCCATAGCACACAGTGGTATCTTAGTTGGACATCTTGCAATGCGAAAAACGACACTACTGAGGGTATGGAACCGCGACACGAATCAGCAGGTAAGAAATCTGACCATGTAAAGGGAACACAGGGGTCCAGTGAAGCGATGTTCTTCAGCCATACACTTATTGGCTGACGACTGATAGGTGGGGCAAAGCAAGGGGTGTAAGATCTGAGTGGCATTTGGGGAAGTAATTCAGGTTAGCGGTTATGCGTGATTGCTCCTAGATCTACAACTTCCTAAGCTCACGAAATCAAACACAACGGGAAGGACGCCATCTAGGGTCACCTTATTGAGACCGCAACTACGGCCTCATGGCATTGTGTCCTGATCTTCCCTGAACTAGCTTCTCAAGTCAAACGGGACATCCGTTGCCCAAGTTGATAGATCTCATTCTGGCTTGAATGATTTCCTCGCGATATCCTCAATCAGCACGTACATCGGGCGCCATTCTACCACTGATCAACTATACCGCTGAGTTTCATTGCGGTACCTCGAGCGGCATAGCAATCATTTGATTCTCAATATGTAGAACCGCATCTATATTGTTTCATCAAGCCAAAGTGGCCCTGTGTAGCAAAACAGGTCCCGCTTGTGAGAAGATCCGGAGAATATGGCTCGGCTAATTGACAGAGCTGATAAATACGTGCCACGTGATCGACTGCGGTAGCGCGGGCGACAAAAAGCAAATCGGTGCAAGAACTTAGACATCAAAGCCAAAAAAGAACAGGTGACTTTGAGAAAATAACCTCATCTGCATACAAATTTGGTTTTTACAAGAGGCTTAACTAAATAAAGTTGAATATCCCGTTCATGATGGTTCGATTCAACCGAATGTGCTGCACCAGACTGCCTAATGTTAGTACAGTATTCGAAAAATCACGATACGTTATTGCCTGGACGTAACACACTACTTATAACATTGTTCATCCAGCTGAAGCCGATCATCATAAACGAGACCTTCGGTTGGATTCAGTTGACTTTCCTTTCAAAATCAGATTCATATGCAGTTGTGAGTATATATCAAAATCTATCCAATCTAGACTCAAGAAGAACATAACGTTGACATAAATCCAGGGACTTCGCCTAACTTATGAAATATTAGGAGGGCGAAAGCACTCGTGGGCTGTCAAAGGACCTGCAGCAACCCAATGAGTAGTCTGTTACGAATAGTTTATTTTGTTTAGGTTTTTAAAATAAACCAGATAATTTAGAGGAGGTCCACTGAAGAATGGGACAAAGGTCTTCGTAAACCTGTCCCCTCAATCTACTCCGAGTGTAGGCGAGGTTTTACATCTCAGCAGTTCAGTACCGTGGCTGACGTAAAGCTGTCCATATCATTGGGGTTGGAGTACGCTTCTTCCTTCTAAGTCTTCGTTTTTGATGGACTGTGCCGAGGCAGTTAAGCCCTATTCAGCCTAAAACATTATCCAATAGATTTGCAAGGATTATTAATGAATTTTTGAATTCATCACACTGATACATTCTCCTGTCTTCACATTTTTTCTGAAAACAAGAAGGAGCGCTTGAATGGGACCAAGTTTTGCTGGAAGGCGTCTGATGATAGAACTTGTTGCAACCTTCACTCTCCAGCCGAAAACGGTGCACGCCTTGATTGGCGTTATAACGAAATACGGTAAGGGGATCCGCACACCAAAATGGTCTCCACGGAGAAGAAAATTCCCAGACAAGACTATAAGCTTATTCCGGGTCACGCACCGCTTAGAGTGTAGTTCCCCCAAAGAGAAGCCAGCTGTGAGGAGAATTTGAATCTTCTCATGTTCCCACGGTTCTCACTTAGTATAAAAAGAGGGATAGCTGCTTAATGAAATAGAATATCGATAATAATACTTTGTTATCAATCTTAAATGACAGTAAGGTGTACGCTCTTGTCACTATCCAGCAAATAGGATGGCGCCAAATTGGAACGTTCGTCCTTTATTCCTTGAATCCCAAAACCAAACATCCAAATTTACTGACTGGAAAGGGGCACTATATAGAAGTATTCTGGGAGTTCGCAGTCGTTGTGCGTAATTAACAAGTTGAGCTGAACCTCCAACATCGCATAACCAGGTTGACTTACTCAGTGGGTTGTAAATAGACTGCACAGACTCCAAACGAACCAGTCGATTTTTGTCCCGCGTCAATTGAATTGTGATCGTGACCAGACTGAAAGTAATAAACCACCAGGAATGGTAATTTGACATATAGAAAACTCAATTTGTACACATGAATAGGAGCAAACTTATTGATGTGAAAAATAGCAATGTTGGGCAACCAAAAAGGTTTTGCGAACAACACGTGACCGAATTCGGCCTAGATTGATTGCTTCGCAGATCTGCTGATTGATGAGTTTATTTGCAGGTCGCGGAGGGAGGGGGACAGAGCAGTCAAATAGAATATACTCCAAAGGCAATTCAATTAGTTGGTAATAGTGGCTGTTAGTTTCTGATGTGTGACGCTCCAGTGGAAATTAGACGACCAAGACAAAAATAACCAGCTTAATTAGGTGGCTAGTTCATGGTAGAACTGCGCTATTCAGAGTATTACTGGGAATCGTTTTTTTGCGTTACACTGGTTCAGCTGAATGATGATGAATGGCGCAGTTCGTTGGATGAATCGACATTCGAACACCCCTTTCCAAAAAAAACAATTTGGACTCCACTCAAACTCGCATTTATTACTGCTTTATACCATAGCACTACAGTGGTTTACTGAGAAGACCACCTTTGTATCAAGAACACGACTTAAAATATTGTAAGTAAACTATTTTTGTTATCCAAGTCATATCGATCTGTAAGTGCTAGAATTCAGCAGTCGATAAATCAGATATGGTGAATCAGGGTGTTACCATCTGGAATACTGGATACTGTTGCCCGATGGAAGTAAGCATCTGTAAAACTATGATGTACTGTGATGTTTCTCAACGTTCCTATTGCTCCACGTGCGAGAATAAGTTTTGCGCATTTGTTGATGTCCGGGGTAAGTTTAGCAGATGTGAGTGTGGTGAAATTAAACAACCGCCTGGATGCGATTGGATTAGTCAACTATGGGGGAATGATTAGCCACCAGGGACTCTCCACCTTCTTTGAATCAAACTTAATACAAACCGTCCGGTCCTGGTGTCTCCTCTGGTTTCAGTAAGGATATTTCGTATTTCATTTCTTATTCTGAGGGGCAACTATGTTTAGCATTTCGCGTGAAGGTCAACGGTGAGTCCCACGGTGAGCTCACTACACGGAGTGATGTCATACAATGTTGCTCCGTTTCACCGTTGCTATTCAACTTCATCGTAAGTTAGGATTGGGGAACACTCACTCCCAGCCTCTAATGCCTGAGGGGTCGAAGCGCTCCCAGGGTGGGCGCTCACAAATATCGAGTGCACGGACAACACAGATCCTCTTTGATTTGGCGTCACTACAATGCTAATAGCATTAAATACTCTGAATAATTTTAGCCTGTGGTTTCGCATGCGATTCACACCCCTAGAATGTAGAATGCTGCTGAAAGACTGGGTGGGTTCGAACTCTAGCTCCATGCTTGCGGATGAACCGATTGAGGTATTAGAATGAATAGGGAGAGATCAAAATAGTTCCGCTGCCTGTTCCACAGCTAGTGGAAATTAGCTTATCTGTCAAAAGCTGCATTGCACTGCATATATGCGAGATGGCCCAAGTGGTTAGAGCGCGAATTTACTGACCGGAAGGTTAGTGGTTCGAATCCGACCTCTGCCTCTCGACATCCCCTGTCTAGATTTGGACAACCTGGTAGTATCCCAGCCTTTGTGCAACCTTCGGATAGCATGGCAGCTAGGCACCGAAAGGGCGCTACAGCTGAATGATTTTTTATTAACATATATGGTTGGAATCCTGACCGGTGTGCTCTAAGGACGTCAGAAATCTTTCATTTTCCAACCACTAATATCTTATGAGCATTACCGAGTCTGGTGGGAACACCGCAGAAGCACTGCTGAAGTACGTCGTTAGCTTTCGGAAGAGTGGATGAACATCCCACTCGATTGGTCACCTGCTCCGTATGCCAGCCCACCGTATCCCTTGAGCAGCTCTTTCGCAAATCCACGCAAAGAGCGAACACGAGCCAGGGGAGGTCAAACAATGATTCAGCAAGGAAGTACGAAATCTATTCCAAGAAAAGTCGGCTGCACTGTTCATCGCTATCCCCCTGGATAAGGACCCTGAGACGGGACGTATCAATCGTTAAAGACAGTTACACCTTCAAAGCTTATTCATCCAGGCTGTTGTCTTCAATGCATACTTCCATTGCGATCTCCTCAATGAAAATTCACCGACACTACTGTATTTGTGAAGTACCTATATCAGCTATCGCCTCCAATTCTCAGCTTATACCCACCTTCCCAAATCATTGGGGAACAAAACTGTAACAGCTATAACCACCGTGCGGCAGGTACGCGCGCTTTACAGTTGATAGTGATGATGATAATGATAGTAAGGAGAAAAGGAAGAAAACCTTAGTTCGAAAAATTCAAGTGCTGGATTCGCCATTCACTGGACTCAACGGTCAAAGCGAAAGTGTTCATAAGTCAGTTGAGAGACGTGTCCGATCACCTAATTAGTTTACTCACTTGTAGTAGATGACAATAATCTCACGTAATTCGAACAGGATGGGTATGACCACATTGCTTCTCGAATGCAAAAGGGAAGACGAACTAATATCGCGGAAGCTAGAATATTTTGTTGTGGGGAGATATGACTGAACAGTTAGGCCATTTCTATGATTCACGAAAAATTCACAAACCCGCGGTTTCACCCGGACCCTTACATAACGGAGAGAATTCGCATCACCGCATATTAAGCAGATGCTTGGTTAGTCTTCTAACTTTCTTCTGGACAAGTTTATCTCCAATACGGTGCCCAGTAAAACAAGTGGTGCAGTACATTCAGGTGAAGAATATCATAAGCGAGAGATGCAACTGGGATTCAGCTGAGTCAACCATTAAAACCAAATTCATGTGCAGCTTAGTGTATTTGGCGGATTTCAACAATTTTGCCTCCAACAGAATATGAGGTTGACGAAGAATGGAGGACAGAGTCTGCTGGTGAGCCTAAAGAAGGGCAAAACCGGTCGTGGGATGCCGAAGAGTTTTCAACAACCTTGCGGGTAGATTTCTGTAGGGAGTTCAACCACCCACCATTTGAAGGATTCTTTTGAACTTTGTCGGATTATCGGTGGATTAGCAGTGTGTTTCACTGATATTCTGAATCATCTTTTAAAAATGTACCGCCATGTCAAGCTGTCGAGTTTTTTTTTACACGACTAAATGGTGAGTCTAAACATCACACCAAACGTCCCAGCCTCTCTGGCAAAAGATTTCATCCTTCTCAATTTCGATTCAATTTGGAAAACCTCGTCTGCAGTCAGATGGACGGGGTTGCCATGGTCATTCTTTTGGGCCCGACGCTTGTTGATGTGCTCTTGCTTATCTTAAAAAGTGGTTATACTGCCAGCAGCAAACGTTACAACTACAATAGTATCCAGACTTCAGTATTAGAAATCACTTGGTCAGAATTTTGTCTATCTTCGCAATGTGTACCGCAGCTTATCAGGGTCCAAAGACAATCGATAGAGCGAAAATTTGGTCATCTTGGATATTCCGCCTGAAACACGTCCGGATGACTGGGTGGCCTTTGAAATTCACCGTTAAACAATGTAGATTGGTCAGTTTTGCACCAGTGATTCATAGACGCGGCTCAACTAAGACACTGTTATACGGGGCCAAGAAATTTGCATCCCTGAAGAGTTGCACAAAACGGAATCTCACCCTGATGCGGCTACGAGGGATGTTCTGTCCAAAAACATAGGCTACAGAAAACTAAACTACGCTCGATTTCTGCTGCTTACTAGCAACTAGCAATGAAAGGGAATCACGTATTTGTGAGAATGAAGCGAAAAAAAACAGCTTCCTTGGATCGTATTTTTCTAGCCACACAACTAAGAACAGCCAGGTCCAAATGAGCCGTGAAACCTTTGGTTGGCCAGCCTAAAGGACCTGTTTTCCAAAGCTCAAGTCATCTGCCAGTTCAGATGCGATTACTGTAGCATTCACCTTGGCAGAGATAATCACTGTCCGTCACAGCAAACATCTGGGCACATTCAAATACCCGGGTAATTAGATCAGACAACGATAAACTAGTTGTCTATCCACGGTCTGGGACTCCACATCAGCAGCGCCTGCTAATGACGAGATATTTCGTTGGCCCCGAACAATCATTCACGCCTTTTGGGTGATCGGATTCCACGTAGACTGGCTGATTACGCTGAACCAGCCAGCTTTACATGAATAAAATTCCGTGCATAGAGATATGTATCCAAATTGGCTCTGGTATCAGACTACCTCTCCCTACGCTGAATTGTTTCATATTTCGCTTATTGCTGCTACCGTGTCATAAATTCAGAAGTAGAAGAAGTGAAAATTAAAACAAACGCATACTTACTGTTACTTCTGTTCCCTTACCGTCCCGATCGAATAACACATGCATTGCTGGTAATGCTGCTTAGTTCCATATCCTAGAAGAATATCACTCCCACCCAGGCTTCGGTCAATAGTGACCGCCGGGCCGGTGAGAGGACTGTTACCGGAATGTGAATTGGGTCCGAGTATGCCAAATGACACTGAAGAAACTCACAAAGCAAACTACAATCAGTGCCTACAGTGGTGGTAGCTTGCCGGTATTTAGTAGGCAATAAATATCCACCAAGCCAGTATGATGGACTTACAAAAAGCCTAAAGATGACAATATTTTTAATCATTTGAGGAAAAAGTGGGTCATGAGGGGAGAGTGTAGTGTCTATCTGAGGCCACAACTAGTGAGTTGCGATGGTATGGTGAAAGGCAACCATGCCGATCGGGGAGACAACATCAAGGTCGTTTGAGACGTCCGCTACAGTACTTAAGGTGAAACCGTACGAGAAATTTTGTCACACACAGTAAGCCGAACAAGTGAAAGTACTTATGTGATGTTGCGAACTGAATCCTTTCAGCCAAAAAGCTGCTGAAAAATTTGTTTAACCAAGCCGTTTCCCAAGATTAACCCCATTTATTGTCTGGTCATAACTTCTGTGAAGTCATCCCCCACGGAACTCTTGCGGAATCATGTGACAAAGTAAAATTTGCCGCATAACCTATGAGA